GCTTGGCTGGTCTGTGCTGGCTCTCCGCATTGCAGTAGACTTGTATGAGTGCCCACAAACGCTCTGATGAACAACTGTGATGGTACAGCCCAGCGTGGTCTGTGTTCAGGTAGATGGCCACAGGAGCTGGCTTTGGGGCTGTTTGTGCAGTGGAAGAACCTTCGCTTGGCCAGCCAGCTGGGTGTCCAGGCATCAGTGCCTTGGACCACCCATGGATGCTCGGGCTAGTCCCAAATCCCATTGGAAATAGCTTCCATTTGACAAAGACTGGAAATATCTCTGCAAATGCTGTGTGAGATGTGGGTAGCTGTTTTTCCAGTGCATGGCTGGATAAGCTTGTAGACTTTCAGCAGTTAACCCCAGTAAAGCACGAAGAAAACCTCCAGAACTAAACAGGACATTAGCTGAATTTGGCCTGAAACAAAGTTTTGAAAAGTTACAGAATGTATGAAAACAGTGATAAGCTTTAATTTTTTTTCCACTTTTTTATATGAATATAAAGATGGCAGTTTTATCATTTGATGGGCTGCAGATTTATTTGGTTATAGTGAAACAAAATTTTATTTCCTAAGGGCTGTTTCTGAATATGTCTGTGTCTTGGTGTCATGCCTTGTGTCTGCTTCAGGCACGCAGCAATTCTGCTGCCCAGTAATAACACTAAGGATAGAAGTATGAACTTCTGTTTTTATCAAGCTGTATCACTATAAAAGCAATCTAACAAGGGACTGGTTTTGGGATATTTGCTGTAATTGGTAAGTTTGTTTTCATTAGAAGGAAATTAAAATTTAATGGCAGAATACATGACCTAAATTCTGTAGAAAGTGCATGGTGATGTACTTGCGTGAAGACAACTAATTATTTCCTGGATCTAGTCCAGGTGATCTTAGGTTTTATGGCAACTGACTGATAATTAATTGTCCACAAGTAATTTTAGTTAAAGATTGGACCGTTATTGGTGAACAGCTCTCTGGAGGTTTGAAAAAAATCTCTTAAGAGGAATAACATCCTCCATGAGAGTGCCAACTATCCAAATAAGAAATATCAGTTTTGACACTGGTTCAGGCAAGGTTTGCTAGTTGAAGCTGGGGTGTAGTTTGAATGATCAGTCTTGTTTATAGGCAGATTGGTCAATTCTATTGCGGAGCCTAATGAGTTTAGTGCACTTCATTTAGTCCCTGGAAAAGAGTGATGTAAAGCGCTGCTTATACAAATAAAACTAGCATCTGTGCTCACATTAGTTGGAAAAAAATTATGAAGTCTATCGATGCTTCAAATCACTGACTGGGTTTATAAGAAAAAAATAGCCCATGATGGCACATCCATGCTGTGGTGTAATTATGTGCATCACCCTTTCTCTGACTAAATGCAATTCAAGCTTCAATTAAAAAAAATAAAAATCAAACAGCAACATGCCCCCTGCCCTCCTCTTTCTGGTTTATAAACAGTTCAAACCACGCTCCTATAGACCTTTGGAGTGGTCATCAGCCCTATGCAATACGTCTCCGTGCTTTATTTGGGGTACTGATAATTACAACATCAAACCCACAGGTATTAATGAGTTAGATGGATTTCAAGCTTGTGCACCTCTGTGATCTCCTCATGCTTCTGGAAATGGGATTAGCTGGTTCCTGTCTCCTTCAGGCTGCTGGATCCTGTACATCTACATGCCATATGTCATGAAGTATGACGGTGTGGCAGCCTTGCTGTTCTCTGGGTGACCTTGCTTTGTGCTCAGATCTGATTTGGAACTCCTTACTAATGAGGAGTGTAGGTATCTGTATCCTCTCCTTTCCCTATTCCAAATACACTCATCAAAAATGTAAATTGTTTTTTGTGGGCTTTTTGTTGTTGCTGTTTGGGGGTTTTTTTGCTCTATTTCTTTTTTTTTTTTTTTTTTAGGTAACAGCCTTGCATTTTTCTGTGTTACTGTACTGGATATAGTTATGTATTGCTTTGTCTTTGATTTTTCAAGTTGTCATTAAATGGAAGAATGACAGGCCTCTGAACATGAGACAAATCTAATTTATCTCTTAAATTAATTACCAGGAGGCTGTATAAACACTGAAAACAAATTTAATAAAGGAGGCATTCCAGATGGTTGGAGGTAGACTTATGCATTCAGAACGTTCCTCATTATAATTGCAATACCATACACAGAGATTCGTCCTGACACTTTGGGGAATTTACAGATGAGATGCACTACAATCTGCTCGGAGCCATAATATTCACAGGGTTTTATTGTCACAGAAAAAGCATAATGACTATTGAAGTAAACTAATCGCTGACAGTTTTTGAGCTGGCTTTGGTGCACGATATATTTTTTTTTTCTGCCCTGTAGATCCTTGTTTCAAAAAATATTTAAAGTACATATGCAAGTGGCAACATATTGCTCTAATCTCCATGGCATTTATGTACAATTTTAAATTAAATGACTGCAAGCTTCCTTTGTCTATACAGGTGCCTAGTTGCCAATGTGAGTCTTTTAAAGGTTCAGTTTCAATGTAGCTCTGGCGCCATACCCTAGGTTGTACAGCTCCGGTCCCAGTAAAATAAACTGATGAGAAAGGCTTTAAATAACAACTTTCAGCACACCCTTCTCTGTTTTCACTTGGCAACAATAGAACAAACTTGTTCCCTTTCTCTGCGGGGGAAGCTCTGGGATGCTGCTCTCATCTGGGAACAAAGGAAGAGCTCAGAGGACTCTGACCCCAAAACACCTGCAAAAGAGAAGGGATTTTCCCAGACATCTGTGTTTCTGATCTCTGATAGCCACTGGAGCATGGTTTTATTCATAGTGTTATTCTCCTTTTTTTGGTGTCCTTCTCTGGTAGAGAAAAATCCAGCAGGCGGTGTTCCATGGTTTGTTAACTTGTCAGTATGACTTTCAAAACTTCAAATATCCACTTCTAGCTGACTTAAAACATAACCAAATTGCCACATAGCTGCAGAGAGCTCATCTGTGTGCTGAAAATGAGGGGGGTTTGTGTCACAGACTAGTTCCCACCATTAATGCTTCTGTATGAGCTTAAGGCATCCCCATGAAGAGGTATGCAGAATAGCTACTAGCTGATAACTTAGTGTCGTGTATAGGTGTAGAAAAGTTTAGGCTGGTGTTCAATAGCTTCTCCAGGAAGTAAGGGAATTCTGTAAACTCTTTGATGTCCTCTTGGAAGTGAGCTTCAAAGGCACCTAGTGTGTTTTAATTTCCTCACCTGTGCAGTCTTATTATTCATCCCTTGCACAGTGAAATGGTTTTGCACCTCAAGCCATTTATCAAACTTTCAGCCACAGTCTTGGAGGAGTACTGTGGTGACCAGCGAAGTGTGCCTGGTGAATGAAGGGCAGCTAATGGGTCAGGAGAATGGAAAGGTCACCGGTCTTGGAAGAGTTGCGAATGGGCATTGAAGCTGTAAAAGAGAATTTAGCAGGTAGATAGAGAGAAAATGCATTTCTAGTAATTAATTAGTTCTACCTGCTGGTTTTTCTGATGAAAAATGGAGACTTCTCTGGTTTCCAGTATCTCTGATTTGATTGCATTGGCTTGGGCACTAAAGAAAGTCATGGTTGCCACTGGAATAGCTTAATCAGTGTAGAAAAAGACTGTGAGTAAATAATTTATATGTGCAACAGATGCAGTTGTACAGGAATTGATTGGAATGGAGCCTGGGCAGTGCCTCCTGGGATTTGCAGAGTGCTGTCTATCCTCAGGGAAGGAAAAATTTTGGTCCAAAGGGACAAGAGCATTCAGAACTGGGAGGCTGCACAGGTGTGATGCCTGGTGGGGTCAGAAATCTTGCCAATTCAGCAAATTAAAATTTTGACATTGTAGCTGTGTATACCTGCTCCCCTAAGAAAAATGAAAGAAAAAAAAGTTGTAATAAATAGAAGTTTAGACTGGAGAAATTCTTTCTTTGCAATATTAGTGTAGAGACCAGATAATGTACCAGGGGAGCAGTTCCAGCACAAATTGGACAAAAGAATGAGTGTGGATTATAGGAATAAAACTATTCAACCTCCTCTTGGCACCTGCTGTAATCCATCAGAGCTCTGGGAAATTCAAATGTATAAGCAAGTCCTGAAACAAAACAATTGATATTCCTTCCAGTCCTTATTTTTAAATTGTATGTGCCTTGTTGCAGGGGAAAAAAATACAACAAAGTCTCAAAACTGTTACACATTTATCTGCTGCCTTATTTAAGCAGCTCACGTCTATGAGATGGGAGCATTTTAGTGCTGAAAATTGATTTCTGGACAAAACAGGGATCAAAGAGGTAAAAATTGGAACTCAAGCCGTATTTTCTTCAGCAGCCAGACTTCAGACGACTGTATGGTGGGAAGGCTTAGTAGCAGGCTGAGCTGTGGTTTGATGATACGATAAACCTGGCTTTTCAGTCAGTGATGGAGGATCAAGAATGCTGTGACTGCATGACACAAAGCTCTGATCAGAGAGAACGCACTATGAAGATTGAAATTTAGTTTAAAGAAATGTTTATAGATTAATATTGTAGTGGGAAGGCTTAATGCCATGTCAGAAGCTTTGTCAGTGGGCATAAATTCAATAGAAAGTAGCATCAAATGGGGGCTGCGCACTCTGACTAACCAGAAATGCAATTATGTGCTGGCGTTTGTACCGTTGGTGATTCAGGAGTGTGCTGGACATGGTACTAATCACTGTAGAAAAATGTCCTGAATTCAGGCCCTCAAGAATCATGGATAAAGCACCTCTGCTTCCTGCACAATACCAGGAAGGCATCACGCGTGCTAGAGGTGTTTGCTGGTTTAAGGTGTTTGCTGCTTTTTGGGGAATGCTTATTAAAGCTTTTTGGATTTGTGGGTTGGTGTTTTGTGTGGTGTGGGTTTTGGGTTTGTTTTTGTTTTTGTTTGTTTGTTTTTAGTAGAGATGTTTGCTATTTTGGGGGAGATCCTTACTTTTAGGGGAAATGATTTTTTGAAGATGCTTCTGCCTGGAATTATAGTGAAGCTAAATACATCTTCAAAAATCAAGTGATTGATTCTTTAATGCCTGACAGGACCTCAACTGGCTCTGGCTTCTGCTGCAGGGTTCTCCTGAGTTGCTTGATGCCTGATAGGACCTCATCTGGCTCTGACCTTTGCTTTGGGGTCTTTTGCTTTGTGGTCCTTAAAAACTGCTTGTTGCCTGACACAACCTCCACTGGCTCCAACTTCTGCTTTGGAGTCCTCCTTCTAGTTCCTGATTTCACCAGAAATGCTTGTTTTTCTGGAATTATTGAAAAACTAGCCACACTAATATTTTCTTCCAGCATAGCCTTTATTTTTTCAGGAGTTTTTGTGGATATTGCATCAAACATAGACTTCACAGACTCCTCTCTCAGAAAGTGGCAAATGCCTGGACTATCTTGTTTCTGTTCTGGAGCATCTGAACTATTCAAAGGTGACACCATCATCTCTCCAGATTCTTCAGGAGTGTGCAAGTCAGAAATTTCTGCTACAGCACGTGTTGTTGTAAAATCAGTCTTCTCAACTGTGGCCAATGGCAACATTTTTCCACTCTTATTTTCTGGAGTTTGAAACATTTCGGTCAATCCTGTGAAGCTTTCATCCATGTTCATGTTTAGCTTCAAGACAGGATTTTTTTACCACTTCAGGGACCTGTCCAGCTGTTCTGACTGTGGTGGAATAAGCTCTACCTACAACTATTGTAGCAGGTGACTCTACTTTAGGCTGTTTAGGACACTGGTTGGAAGAGTCCCTTGGGAGACAGTCCTGGAGGGCAAGGGGGCAGTAATCTTCATTAGAAGCATGTAAAATACATTCTGTGTGACTGTAGATCCTGGGAATAATGGTGTTGAAGTATGGGGTTTAAATACTTAATCAGAATTTGCTAGTAATCCTACATGAAACTACAAGTAGGAGATTTTCAAAACCTTGAAACAAAACTGTCTTACTGGGTCTTGTAGATTACTTTTACAAAAGTGTTAATGAGTGTTACACAATGTCCTTTTGGAAGGGTCATCGTTTGATAAAAAATAAAATAGAACAACAAAGATAGTCTGATAGCCTTCTGTAGGTTCACAGGCCATGATCATTACATCTGACCTTACAGAAAGTACAGAACTTGTAGTTTTTTTCAGTGATCTCTGTGTCTATAGTTCAGCATTGAGTGACCTCTGTCTTTAATTATGTCTATAGCTCAACACTGAACTTGAGGGGTTTTGAAAAATGAAGAAGTCTAATATTTTATAACAGAAATCAGTGCAAATAAGATAAACTCACATTATGTCTCTGCTCATATATCTGCTCGTTTTCAAGACCTAGGAACTTGGTCCAATCATAGGTATGAACCAGGTATGAACAGTCTTTTGTGATAATAACATTAATGAAAGTTGAATTCATGATGCAACAAGTGTAAAGGAGAAGCCACCTGCTTTTTGCTGTAGGAAATCATATTGGTTACAGAAAGAAACCAAAGACTGACGGATTGAAGAAAAGATTCTCAAAATAATGCCATTTATTAAATAATTAAAATTATCTGGTTTGATCAGCTGAATAAGGTAAGAGTAGTGAGATGTATCTAGTCTTTGGCCTTTTGATTCATCATCTTGAGTTATGGTACACGTGTAAGGAAAAATGTCAGGAGATTAAAAGAACTTTTTAACGCCAGGCTTTGTCATTATTTTAAAAATAGATTAATTAAATCTGGGGGTGGTGAAAAAACAATTCACTAGAGATGGACTAGTAAGTCTAATGTTACTTGCTTGTCTTTGTCTCTTGTAAATGAAGAAGTCTATCTCAGATTAGTCAAAACACTTCCAAAATGTCAGAATCTTTCCTTTCTAGCTCTTGCAGCTGAGGAAATGTTTCTCTCAACCTCTCTCCTGAAAAAAGACTTTACTTATACCAAACATCACAAATTGTTTTGCTGTTTTGTATTTTTTTTTTTTTGCTTATATCCAGTTCTTGCTTTTTCATATGACTATATTAAAACAAGGTGTTAATCAGGTAGATCTCTGATAAGCTTGCACGCGTTTCATTTCCTCTGCACTGTTTGTAAGCTTTCTTACAAAATGCCTGGGAAAATAACAAATCTGGAGTCTGGCAAATGCAAATACTCCAGCTTTGAAAGGATGCCTGGGGAGAGTGCTGTTCTGGCAGCCCCCCGGGTTATCAAATGCTCTGCTCCCAGCACCCTGATGGTAATTGCAGCAGCATTACACAGATTGAGACGCTCCTTCTCTGAAAAGTCAGCGTAACAAAGCATTTAGAGCTTAGTTCAATGCCAACTGCAATACTTGGCAATTTCCCACAGCCTGAAGTATCTAAGGTTCCGCTTCTTAAACCCAGCTCTTGAGATCACCATTAAATAAACATGGCAGAGCATCAGGCTGTAACTACCTGTTCTCAAAATTTGTATGTATCAAACCAGCGCTACCACCTCAAACTTATACTGGTACTTGCGGATTTTTTTTTTTCTTTCTCTTACTCTTTCTGCTTTTATCCCCCTGGGATCTTACTTCTGTCTCTGGGTCTTGCCCTCCAGGCAGTGTTGATGGCTTGTAAGAGAAAATGGACGTCTTTTAAGAACTTCTGAACGAGCAAGTATTGAGCTGATATAAAGTTTAATGCTGTAAGATGGAACACTTGCCTCAAAATGACCAGTTGCTCGATGTTCTTGCCTTCACTTTTTATACAACTAGAAGACTATCAGCCTCAGGAGAAGGCAAAAAAAAGACACTTCTCACAATTATTCAATAAAGCTTTGAATGAGCAAGCACAATGCCACTGGTCAAGATTGCAGTGCTGCCTGTGGATTTGCTGAGCCCCTCTAGTGCTTTCTGCAGATTTTGTAGTTTATTCCTATGTGTAAAAGAATTCTAGCATAATATGTGTGTGTGTATGAAATTTGTCTGTTTGTCGGCACATTGTCTTGTTCAAGACACACAGGATCATTATGTGAAGCACCAGTTGTTAATTGAGTGATTTTGACAGGTTACAGTGTCTGGTTCCAACATAAAAAATGGTAGAGTGTTATTAGAAACACCTTCTTAGAAATTTCTGTCTGATTTTAGAGATTTGCAGGAAGCGAATCCTATTCATGCTAACGCTTAGTGGCTTCCTGAGCCAAGTCTTTGAAGACATTAAGCCCCGGCACAAGAGAAGTCCCTGTAATAGACTAGTTAAAATGTGTTTCACATTTCTCTTAACTATCCTGATTAAAGTACTCTGGAAACATATTTTTCTCGGGATATGTGTTTCTCTGAGTATAACTTATCCCTTCCTGTTTTTTTGGTGCTGGATGTCACGTTAGTTTCTGGAAAGTGATGGCATTTCTAGTGTGGTGAAGGAAAGTGGGAATACCAGTCAGCTGAGTTAGGAGGACATGTCTACCTTTACAGAGAGGTTAGCTCCTCTGCTATCTTCTTGTCTAAATTAGAACTGACAAGAAAGTGAAGAGGCTCTCAGGGGGTAAAAATAACAGTTCCTGTAAGAAACATGGTTTTTTCTTTTAAAAGGAAAAGATTCAAAGGATTTTGAACTTAAAAGTAATCTTTCCAACTATGGTAGAAGTTGTAAAGGCTGAAGACTCACTATCCTTTTTTCGTCCTCTTTTAAATCTTTCAAAGTAAGATGTGTATGGGTGGAGTTGGGTTTCTGTTGTGTTTTTGTGGTGTTTTTTTTTTTGTTTGTTTGTTTTTTTTTTTTTTTTTTTTTTTTTTTTGGGGGGTGTTTGTTTTTTTTAAGATCTCAGTAAGGCACCAATAATGCCTTGAAGCAGGAAAACAAAGTGAGAGTTGATAAGCGACTGTTCATTACTCACGTTTTGCTCTTTTTTTTGGTGTGTCCATGTGCTGAAACAACACTTAACCATAATTTGTTTCTCAGTCTTTTGCTATGGATTTGTACAGATAGATGTCGATAGCCAACTAACTCGGTGGGAAGCATGACTGCCACACTTTGGAACACTGTGCTGAACTATCTGTGAGATGTTTCAGCTCCCACCGCTGTTGCTGTAGGAGCCAGGGATCCTAACAAGATGCAGAGACTGTATCAGTTACATGTTTTCTTGGGGAATTTCCAACAAAACAGTTGGTTACTCTCTCCCCTCACTAGTTTATCAATGTCTCTTTACATTTTAATTTTGTTGCACCAGCCAGATTGTTTCCAGACTTAGCGCTTCTCTCTTATTATGTCTTAAATCTGGCACCTTATGGAGAAAGGGTAGAAAACGATTTTCTTATCTATGGGATCCTTATATTTAAAGCAAATTTTAGGAAATAATTTTTTTTGTATGGACCAAGAAGCTAACACAGCTACCGCAGAAACATTGTTCCTTCTAACAGTCACCTGTGTTCAACCATTACTTACATGTTCTGACAAATATGATGAAGTTTTTGTCTGTTCCTGCTCCTTATCAGAAAGGCACTGCCTTTTACACCCACTGTGGAAAAACCTATACCATCTGGTATATCCTGGTGCTAGCTATTAAACAGATTCTAGGGGATTGACAGGGGAAACAGTCTATCTCCTGGGACTTTCACACTTGGCCTCCATTGTAGGCGACCCCAAAGCGTAATCTGTACGATCTGAGCTGTGTGGATTCACGTCATGCAGGAAAATAACTCATTTCTATGAACTAAAATATGGAAAATGTGGTGTGGTTTTTTTTTTTTTT